ATAAGAAGATATAGGCAATCGGGAATTTTGACCAGGTATGATTAATAAGTGATACAAATCCCATTTCTTATTTTATTAATCAAGATTTGCCATGCATCAGCTAACATCACACCTTCACGTCTGTTCAAACTGTTTGGATTTACCCATATATTCAGGGCTTCCGTAATCAGTCTTTCTTTATACGAACCAAAACTTTTCTGTAGAACCTTAGTCATATCAAAGTCGATCTTTTGTCCCGTTTCTATCGAATGCAGTGCAGTCGCTGATCTGTTTTCTAGCTTCTTCTTCAAGTCTGCAGAGGTCTTCGGAACCACCTTTAGATATTGTTTATGCTCTTTCACTCTTATATTTATCTGTCTGGAGGTTTCTCCTACATATACGGTGTCACAGTCCCCACGATTGATCTGGTACACACAATTCTGTTGGTTTCCTTCTTCTATTTCATCCTTAACCTTCACCAGTGATGAGCGTAAGGTGTCAGTTGCTCCAAAATACACTCTTACGTCATGATCGTTAAGGATTCACTTTATCTCATCCCATGTTTGTTTGCGGGAAGGAATCACCACTGTACTAACCCAAATCTTAACAACAGATTTCGATTCAACCTTTTAGTTCCTTGCTAATCTCTTCTTCCTCAGTAACTAGACGTTTGGCTCTATTAATCAGATTCTTAGCCACAGTTACTTTGGTGATAAAGGGGTGTGCTCAATAGTAGTCTAGGTATCTACCCGAACTTTTCGGCTTCCTGAAAATGTTTATTTTAAATGTACCATTTAGTTTTAGTTTCATTAAACAGTCCAGGAACGCCAAATCATTCTCATTGGATTCAACCTCTTTGGAAAACTTTATTATAGTTTCTGACATATTGTTTATTAAGTGAAAAACTTCATTATTCAACAAACTACGTCTGATTATGACGAAGGTACCATTCAAGTATCTTAACCACATTTTTGAAGGACTAGACCATCTCCCAATTGTATTTGTTTCTAATGTGTGCATAAACAGATTGGCGATTAGCGGAGATACTGGTGATCCCATAGCAATGCCTTCTGTTTAACGGCAATAACCACTACCAATCACTATCACCGGGAGAAAGTTGAAACAGGTCACTCCCTTCACTTATCTCGTCAGGCAGCGTCGTTTCAACCTTCTGTACTCAGTCGACATAAAGTAGAAGATTCGGATTTTCAACACCAATATTAAGTCAGTCAATTCTACTGTATGCGTCAGAAACTTGGCGTGCGCATCACCAAAAGCATCTTTAACAGCCTACTGCAGATTTTTATCAACAACTGCCGTCGCCGGCTCATTACTCAAGATCAGATGGCCAGCAAGAAGGAATTAGCCACAAGAAACTCTGGAAAAATAACTAAATAAGAACCTAATTGGTGGATGGTGACTAGCAGTGGAATCCAGGATAAGACGCATTTCGCCCCATCTGGGACTCATCTAACCAAGTGGTCTAGTGGATAACGCTTTGGCGTTTGAAACTATGGCCACTGGGTTCGAGCTTCGGTGGGAACATCATCACTCAGTGGGGAATGCAGGCACATCCAGCTGGCGAACGAGTTCCAAATAGGACGAAATGTGCTTTATCCTGGATTCCACTGCCAGTCACCATCCTACCAATCAACTTCTAATTACATGCACAGACATCGTCGAAGCATCTGCACAAGGAGGAGCCGATATATCAACCTGGGGCCGCGCACTTCGGTCCAATCAATCGACGCGAAAATCTAAAATTGAATTAAATAAACAAGAACCTATTGCTCAACAAGGAGAATTAAGTCAATGCAAGAACTAGAGCGGAATTATACTCCTGTCTATCCCAAGCAAAATACTAAGCCGTATCATCCTGAAGAGACTCAAACAAGCCCTGGATGAAAAACGTCGACCGGAACAGGCTGGATTCAGGAGAAACAAGTCATGTTTTGATCAGATCGCCACATTACGGATCATCATTGAACAAAGCCTGGAATGGCAGTCACCTCTCTTTCTCAACTTCATCGACTTTGAAAAAGCCGTCGACAGCGTCGATCGAGAGGTGCTTTGGCAACTACTTCGCTACAACGGGGTGCCACCGACAATTAGACATCTCATCCAACAGCTATACGACAATGCTGCATGCCAAGTAATCCACAATGGGAAACTTACGGAACCCTTCGAAGTGAGGACAGGAGTAAGGCAAGGCTGCATACTATCGCCAATGATTTTCCTCATTGCAGTAGACTGGATAATTGATAGGATCCCACACACTTTGTAATTGTTCAATTATCTTAACGACTGTTAATCTCGTATAAGTTGTATATCATCAATTCTCACACACTTTGTTATTGTTCAATTATCTTAATGACTGTTAATCTCGCATATGTGTTATATTATCATTTCCCAGGCACTTTGTTATCGTTCAATTATCTTAATGACTGTTAATCTCGCATTTGTGGTATATCATCATTTCCCACGCATTTTGATATTGACTATTACGACCAATTATTTCAAATACTGTTAGCTGTCTCTATTGGTTGTAAAATTGTATAAATACCATTTCCTAAATAAGTTTATTTGTCGTTGTTGTAGTCGTCGTCGTAGTTGTTGTACTACAATACACAGTCACAGACCAGCTTTTGTCTTTTGATATTTGCGTGGTTCGCTGAATCGGAAGGTACCAGAAGAAGATAGGCATATTAGTCAGGCGCAGACAGAACAAGACGACAACGTACCTCATTTAATTCCCCTACGGTTATAACAATAATGCGACAAACAGCGGGCAATGAGGAAACAGGCATAAAATGGACACACACAAAATACTTGGAGGATCTGGACTTCGCTGATGATATATGTCTGATTTCCCACAAACTGGAAGATATGCAAGTGAAAAGTAACAAGTTGGCAGAAGAAGCATCAAAGATAGGACTCCAGGTGAACATAGAGAAAACAGAGGTGATGAAGATTCCTGGGCAAGTACAACAACAACAACAGACAACGATCAGCATAAATAGAAGTAACCTGAAAGAAACTACCTCCTTTACCTACTTGGGAAGCATTGTTTCAACTACAGGCGGAACTGACGAGGATATCAAGGCAAGGATCGGAAAAGCAAGACAAGCTTTCACTACTCTCACGTCTGTGTGGAGGTCAACACCACTCAGCATGAAAATGCAAAATGAGATCTGGATTATCAACTCCAATGTGAAGTCAGCGCTACTATATGGATCAGAGACTTGGCGCGTCATGAAGAGCATCTCAAACAAACTACAGACCTTCATTAACAGCCAGTTGTCTTCGCTCAATACTCAAGATCAGATGGCAGGCCAGAAAAGATCAGCAACAGGGATCTCTGGCAATGAACGAACCAACCAGGAACCGACTGTGAAACAAATAGGCAGGAAGAAATGGAGATGGATTGGCTGGCCATATTCTGGGGAAACAATGCATCAAGTGACATCACTAGACAAGCCATTGCTCGAGTGGAACCCGAAAGGGGAGCGGCGAGTTGGTCGTCAGTGTGTGAGTGACTTGGAGGAGGTGATGTGAAGAGGAGATGAAAACGTGTGGGCAGACATGGAGCCAGGTGAAGACTCTAGCAGAGAACCGAACGCAATGGAGAGGAACGGCTGAAGCCCTATGTTCCTCTAGGAAATAAAGGAAACAATAATAATAATATTGCTCAACAAATATATTCCAAAGATAATGGGGAAATGGATTGAGCATACACTGGAGAGACCTTCGAATGACATCACGCTCCAGCTAGCCCATCGTTCGAGTAGTACCCGAATAGGAAACGACGAGTGGGCCGTCCGAGGGTAATGTGGAGGAGGAGATCAGAGAATATCACCAATCGAGAGCCCAACTAAACAGGATCGCAAAGAATAGGACAGAGTGGAGACGTCCTTTTGAAGCCTTATGTGTCCGACTCGGAACCCGAGGGAACACAGTTATATTAATAATCACAGAAAAAGCCAAGATATTGATAAAAACTACCTTTCAGGAAAGAATTTTATTTTTTTGCTCTTTCATTACTGTTGTACAAAAAAAGAATCAATTTTACAAAAACCGTTGAAATGCACACTTGAAGAAAGACAAAGTTATGAGTAGACAAAATACTCTGAAGAGGAAAGAATGCGAACAATGTATGTAGATCTATGTGTATAGATACACAAAATCAACTTATTTTTCTATGGATCCATTGAAGGTACTGTTAATCGCGATAGATAGATAGACTGCTTGCTAGACAGCTAATCAATATTATGTGACCCTTTTGTCGCGATTATTGGTTAATTTAATGTAACTCACACCACGTGATGTGACTTTGAGTGTCCTTTGTTTTCTGTCACGCTATATATGTATACATGAAATTAATTGACTGTTCATTTTGTCCGTTCCCTCAATAATGTTCGGTACGTTTTTTGTCCTTTCTTGGATGACAATGGATTTGCATATTTTTCTTGGTGTAATTGTATGATTTATTTTATGTTTTAGAAACAGATAAAGTTTAAGTCAAGTCATTCTGTTTTAACTATAGTTAAGCCAAGACTCTGTGTCGTCAGTACTGAGCGGAAGGACTAAGTCTGTAGGCAGAAATAATCCTACAAATTTAGTCCTTCCGCTCAGTACTGACGACACAGTCTTGGCTTAACTATAGTTAAAACAGAATGACTTGACTTAAACTTTACCTGTTTCTAAAACATAAAATAAATCATACAATTACACCAAGAAAATCCATTGTCATTCAAGAAAGGACAAAAAACGTACCGAACAGTATTGAGGGAACGGACAAAATGAACAGTCAATTAATTACATGTATACATATATAGAGTGACAGAAAACAAAGGACACTCAAAGTCACATCACGTGGTGTGAGTTACATTAAATTAACCAATAATCGCGACAAAAGGGTCACATAATATTGATTAGCTGTCTAGCAAGCAGTCTATCTATCTATCGCGATTAACAGGTACCATTACAACATATCTCAGAGTCTGCATTCAAACCACCAGTTATCAAAATCTGTCTATAAGTTGAAAAAAATGTCTAATTAAATAATTTGTTACTTTCGGTTTTATATACTCACAAGACTTTCGGCTAGCCTCGTATCGATCAATATACGCGGTTAGAATATCCAGCTGCACTGGTTTATTCAGTGTACAATGATTGTGTATTAAATAGAATAATAGAAAATCTATACAGAAATGAGTTAAACAAACTTCCCATAGTGAAGAGGGTTGACGATCTGCAATCAATTGGCTGAAGTATGTTAAACAATCACTAGTTATGCTTTTCATCCAATCACTTTTAAGACATTCATAGACGACCACCCCCTCTCTTTCTTCACCATTCACCACCAGCGCCGCCGCCGCCTCCTCTTCCTTCGCTTTCTCTTTCTGATAACTAACCATCTAGAAATGTATAATTTGACCGATATTTTATAACATTAAACTGCATATTACACCCGGACAAGGTGTAGTTTCTGATGACAATAATGATGACGACGACGAAAGAAGGCGTGAAAATGCTTCATACCAACGATTAGGAAACAGCGGTTCTTTTGGAAATAGCCGAAAACTAACTGTTAAACACATTGATGATAAACGCTGACATTCATTTGACAAATAATCATCATTATCGTTTGAAGATGATGGTGCATTTAGAAGAAGAAGATTAATACCAATCCAACACCAGCCAGCCAAGTTGTTCAATCTCTTCTTTACCAGGTCGGATTTTAGAAATTTCTACTTCACGATGTACCATAATATTCGTAGCATTTAGCCATTGTTTATTTCCAATATTCAATAGAATTGAAAAGAATGACTTTTCATCAACTGAACTTGAACGATGATCAATTAACCGTTTTATACACTTTTCTGTGTATATTACAACTTCTGATGATGATGATTCTAAACGTAAATGAGCCAGAATTAAAGCTTCTTCAACTTTCTCATAACTTAACAGTAATTCAATTGCTTCGTGAATACAATGTGCACACACCAGTAGGGTAGCAGAGACCAGAGGATCAGGACTAGTCCTCTGCATATTTTTTATCTATCATTATTGCATTTTTGAGTGGAAAAAGGCGGAGAAAAAAACAAAAACAAAATCACCATTACACAAAGAAAACAGGCTTATTCATCAAGCATTTTGTATATTCAAAGTAAAATATTTCGCAAATGAACACTATCGATTATCAATAAACAGACAGTCATACAGATTATCACAAATTTCAGCTTAAAGGAGAGTTACGAAAAGATTTTTCAAAAATATAACTAAATATTCTCAACGTTATGTAACCTAAGTTCCTACCCGACAACTGCTACCTATCATTACGTTGTGGTCAGGCTTGCATATAACAATGACCCAATAATCTATACTAACAGGTCATTTCATGCCAGGAAGATTGTTAGGGTAGCGAATAGACTAAGAGCAGTTACCAGCATAGAGCAAGATTTATTTCAGAGAAGTTGCAATAACCAGTTTCAGCACGTTGATCGCTGACGAAATCTCAGTATGGATATAGAAAGCTTGTTTGGCATTTGCTTGCCAACTTATACCATCTCTTGCGTAGACGTGATATCTGTCTGTCTGGATTCAACATAGAACTTGGCACCGAAGTACAGCAGTTCGAGTTGCCACGTTCCAAATAGCACACAAAGGTAGACAAGAAGATAAGTGAAGAGACAAGTATGTGAGTGAAACAGAATGAGTAATGGTAGAAAGGAATATGAAAGAATACAGAGACTAAATACATCTGCGTAAGCCATTGACAACGATTTTGAGCCATGTCACCTATTGTCTCCAGCCATTGATTCTTAGAGTCCCGAGGGAGCCAACCCAGAAGTCTGCATCTCCCTACCTAACTCAGTTTAACTGTCAAGGATTTCATGGATTGATGGGGCCATGTTTTTGTTTGGCCACCACTACTTGCTCTTTTCCAACCTGCACCTATATCGGCTAGTAATGCCCGTCCGTCGGGGGAGGCGATGGTTAGGCATGCGCAGCACGTGACTTAGCCATCTCAATCTATGTAATTTCATAGCCTCTTCGAGTGACTTTCCCTCTTTGCTCAACACTCTACGCCTAACGTCAACATTACTTACCTTATTATACCACCTAACGCGAGAAAGAGATCGTAAACATCTGTGGTCAAAAACAGACAATCTCTTCATGTCTTCCGCTCTAAATGGCCACGTTTCACCGCCATAGAGAAGGACGGAGCGAACTGCTGAGCAGTACACACGTCCCTTGGTTGATAGTCGGATGTCACGCCTACGCCAGAGACGGTGTAAGTTAGCGGAAGCAGCCCAAGCTTTTTGGATCCGAGCTGAGATTTCGTCACCAGTCAATCCGTTGGTGCTGATACAGCTTCCCAAATGGGTGAAGTGATCAACATGTTCTATCAATTCATTCCCTATCACGAAGCTAGGTGTAGACGTAGTCCAGTCCTGTAGCAGCATCTTACATTTTACAGGAGCGAATCGCATGCCAAACATACAAAGATTGCTGCTCAAGGTGTTCAGAAGACTCTGCATTTTGTCAGCGTCCTCCCCTAACAGGACTATGTCGTCTGCGTATTCTAAGTCCATAAGACTATTCCCTGGTAACAAGTCGATTCCTAAGTCGTTAAGTTCAGTTAAGGATACTTCCATTATATCTGGCTGACTGTCGACCAAAGGACGTGTATATTGCTCACCAGTTGACTCCCACCTACTCCTTTATAAATGTGAGTGAAACGTGACCACTGACAGTGAAAGACATGAAAAGCCTAGCTAGCTGTCTTTCACCGTACGTGTCTGTGTTTTAGCTACATCCCGTGTTAGGTAGTATGGTTTGGTAGGGTGAGTAATATTGTATTGAGGTTAGGCATTGGTTGAGTTTTAGGTAAGGAGGCAGGAGAAGACAACTGACGAGGTTGTGATGTTACATCGATTGAGATGCCTATGAGAGGTGTAATGCCTGCTAGCCTAGCCATCGATCGCCTTCGTCGACGGGCAATCTTACCTAGCTGACACAGAATCGGTGAGGTCTAGAAAAGCTAGTGGTGGTGAAACGAAAACACGACTTCACCAGTTAACGAAATCCATGATATTTAGTTTAGGCCAGCCAGTCACATTGGCGTGTGTAGACTGGGTGGCTGTCTGGTTTGGGTCTTCGAGATGGAAAAAACCAAATGACTATTGGAGACAATTGGTCATATGACTCGAAATCGTTCTCAGTGATAGCGCAGATACATTCACTCACTCTTTGTGATTTGTCATATCCTATAAAACTCTATTGTTCTTTCATAGTACTATTCTCCTCCCCTCACTCACACTTTTGTTTATTATCTCTCTTTACTCTCTTCTCTGGCTTTGTGTAGTAGTACATGGAGAGAGTGTGGCAACTGGAGCTGCTGCACATCTCTGTAAAGACCTACGTTGAAACAAGTCAGCCAGTCACTACTACTACCACTACTTTAAGTTGGTTTCTTTCATTGACCGACCTATTGGACAATCAATGCTAATCTCCGTAGGGAAGTTCATCAATTCATGATTTAAAAATTCCAAAAATGCAAAACAAGTAGCTAGAAATGTAATTCCATTATGGGTAAAATTTATTTTGATCAAGTCTCACAGTGTTATACAGTAATATTTACTGATGACGTCTCGAGTTATTTGATACCAACGCTTGGTATCAAATAACTATCCTATAAAATTCATTAGAACGACCAAAACAGGCCAAAAACAAAATCAAAATAATTGTGAAACTAGTTATGACAACATAAATGAGAGAATATAAGGCATCTACAAGTCTGCCATATAAGGAGTGGACATCTGAGACCCTACATAGGATTCTTAATAAAGCAGGAATTAGAGTGGCATTGAAACCTACAAACTCACTCAGGTAGGACAAGATCTGTAGGTTAAAGGACCCTGTCAGTTGACTCAATTAGAAAAAATAATATAATTTACGAAATACCTTGCAATGAATGTGATTGTGGTCAACTACATAGGTCAAACTAGTAGATCAGAAATGGTCAAGTTGTTGGAACATAAGAATTTAACTAAGGTTAGAATGGTTGACCCCAAGAAGATAAGTAGTTTAGAAAAATAGCTCAGCAAAAGCACTGCATGTATTAACACACAACCACACAATAAGGTCGTGGGAGAGGGTTAAAATTCTAAGAAGTAATACAGGTAGGTAGAGAGAGAGGTTGATCGTTGAATCCATGTTCATCGAGTCTACACCCAACACAACACATGCAATAGGAATGACTCATCACTCATACCGGAAATATGGAAAATGCTACTACCAATCAAATCAAGCTATGGAAAATAATGGAATTATATAAACGAAGTTAGAAAGTTGTGTGCGTGAGTGTCTTGATGTGATTATGAGTGGCAATAAATTGAGCTCGAAACGTGGTCATCAGTAAATATTACTGTATAACAAAAACACTGTGAGACTTTATCAAAATAAATTTTACCCATAATGGAATTATATTTTACCACAGTGCACAAGTTTTATTCTTACAGATAGAAATGTAATTACAATACCAAAAAACAGAATGATTATCATTCGACCAAATGTGAAAGATGACAAAAGGCAAATATATCACACTGTGAATGACCTTCCATGATGTTTCCAAGTATCACATACCATTGACTTCTGTACCTCAAGGAGTACAGTTGTGTAACCTACACCGCGCTACATAGTTCAAACAAACAGTCAGTGACTCCATGGATTCCTGTCATGTTATGTTTGATCACTCCAAATAATACGCCCCACAACTCAACGCTATTTCAAGCAAACATCTCTAGTCGAAACAATCAATCGCAAATATGAACCTGAGCAAACCAGGGTGTGATCGGAGTCTACAAACGTGTTTAAGGAGGTGTGTCAGTCTTCTACTGACCCCCACCAAAGATAGTCTATCGCTGTGTCGTCTATTTGAGTCCGACGATGATTCGGTTAAGGAGGTCGCCAGGATAGGCACTGTCTCTCTATGTGTCTAAAGTTAGTGCTGACTAGGAACAGATGATTATCTTAAGAGAACTGTAGAACACGATCACCGTTCTCAGTTCGCCGGCAGGGAACTCCCACATAACTTTTCTACTTGAGCATTGAAGTTGACAGCTAAAATCACTACGTCTGAGTGTCTTGCTTTATACACCAAACTAGACAGATTTTCGTAGGAATGATTCTTTAATTCATCCGAACTGCAGTCTATTCGGTGGTAAGCAGAGACTATGAAAAGACACCAACGAGTAACGTAGTCCTTTCTTCTTCAAACGGGCCCGTTCACACAGACCGCACAAATATGGCCATCTCATAGGATCCAGTCAATACAGGAGTTTTCTGCCCCAACACTCAGTGCCAGCCATCCCTACGCCTACGAGTCCTCGCAATCGCACAGTCAAAACAACTGGTAGCTCCGTACGCGTAACACATATACTGCCCACCACCACATAACAAACAGTACATAGCCAGATTGACAAATATCAAACTGAATTAACTAATTGAAACCGTTAGGTGGCCCAAGGATACAATATCAAACATCGTTTTTACAGGCTAGAGTGACTGACTGACTGGTTTCAACATAGAACTTTGCACCGATGTGCAGCAGTTCCAGTCGCCACACTTCACTTAGCAAAGACAGAGAAGGAAGTAAAAAGAAACGCAAAATAGAGAAAGTAAACAGAGATATCAGGCAAAAAGAATAGTAATATCGAAGAAAAACATAGTTTTATTGGGTATTATAAGTCACAAGGAGTGGATGCATCAGTGCCACTGAGAACGATTTTCAGCCATATCACCAATTGTCTCCAGCCATTGCCATTGGTTTTTACTGTCCCGAGGACCCCAACCAGTCAGGAACTCTACACCTCCCTACATCGCTAGCTTAAACTAACTGTTGTGTATTTCATTGACTGATGAGGCCATGTTTCCATTTGACCACCATTGGCTTTTTTCCAACCTGAACAATCCTATGTCAATAACATTGCCTGCTATCAAGAAAGGCGATGGCTAGGGATGCATGCGTAACACATGTCCTTACAATCTCAGTCGATGTAACTTCACAGCCTCGTCGATTGATTTCCCCTCCTTACCTGGCACTCGTCGCCTAACCTCAATATTACTCACGTTATTACACCTACCACTTCCCAAGGGAGATAGAACGCAGGCACCTATGATCAAAGACAGCCAGCCATGCTTTTCATGCCTTCCACTTTCAATGGCCAGGTCTCACAGCCATAAAGGACAACGGAGAGGACTGTTGAGCAGTACATACATCATTTGGCCGATAGCCGGATATCACGTCTACACCAGAGACGGCGTAAGCTGGCATATGCGAAACTAGCCCTCTGTATGCGTGCTGAGTTTCAGTCACTTGATTTAGTCTGAGGATTAGTTTGGTCCCGCTAAAGTTTTCCTATGGAACTTCGTCATTTGCTTTGCTTGTAACTAGAGAGATAATGTCGCCTGTAATTGCATAGTGTCTGGCTGAAATTCAGACATTTCAAAGAAGTTAAACGATGAAAATCTTAAAAGTATAAATGCATATTCGTCTATGAATGTTTTGATTGTATTTCTCATTTAAATATGTAAATCACTCACCTTTTCACCGAGTAAATCAAATCCCACACTTCCAGAAGACCCATCTGAAGAAAACGATAGTTGAACTGCATACAATAGCCAAAAAGGCATATGATCTTCTGAAGATAAAATAGATGCCACCGTGACCACATGACCTATCCATAATAATATAATACAATATGCATCCAAATGCACAAGACTGTTAGGTCTTTGTTGAGAATGAAATGACTTCAAGTGACCAGACGCCTCCATATTCAGATATTTTAAAAGGCATGTACGAGTCATACGAGCTTGTGGGAGTAGAAGTAACAAATCAATTTGTACTTGTTTGTCATTCATTTGTTCAGTTACGAAATTTGAAGCATTTAAAATTTGTGAAAGAAAAAATCCTAGGTGATTGGGTGGAGAGTTATCTAAATCGAATTCACAATTATTATTATTAGTAGTAGTAGTAGTAGTACTCATAAAATTGAATAAATTAGGAAAAAGAGCAGGTCTTTTCCATTTTTCACGAATGCCAGCAGAATTTACTTTCCGAGACGAATTACACTGTAGTGGAATAGACATTTCTTGATGAGAAGTACCATTAGATAGGATGTCATTCGATTTTATTATTACTTTCTTTTATTCTAACTTTTTGTCATTTAATGGTTTAGAATCAGGAAGGGATTCTGTTCATGTTGGAACAGGCTCACAACACAAAATACCTCTGTTGGACGGTGCTTCTTGATCATTTACAAGTTTTTTAACAGTGGATGGACGATATCGGCGAGTGTGCGGCGGTTGATTGAAGAGTTGTTCGGAAGGTTACCAAGCGAATAAATGACATTGTTCACCACCAATGAATGCAAGATCAGGCTCTTGACGACTCCATAGACAAGCAACATGACGTGGACGAAGTGCACGAAAATTAGAGATTGAAAAATTATCTTTTTCAATATTTTCTGGATGAATTCTCCAAACATTAGCTGTACCGTGACCAAGTTAAACAGTTAACACACTTGGAATGATTCACAGTACGACAAATAAAGACAAGTCGTCTAGACTCCTTCTCCACCACCTGCTCACAATTCGAATGTAAGAAACCATAAATGTCAACTTCACCTGAACGATAACCAACAGCTACTAAACAGCTAAAAGTATCAGCAATTAGATCGACACCCGGTAGTTCAGATTTACTGACAAGACGGAATGATATCTCACTACGGATCAATGCTTTCTAGTCTTCATCTGTAGTATCCGGAAAATGGGGGAATTTTGTGCTAACATCAATTGGTGGACGACTGCATCCAAAATGACAGTAAATTTTCCCCTTACTTATGCTGTAAACGTAGAAAGAAAACTTGGATGAGGCTTCGTTATCCTCGGTGGAATTCTAATCTTCTTGTGCAATTAAATGCGTTGTTGAAATGCTAGAATTATCAGATTTTGAATGATTGATTTCGCTAGTTCTCTCTTCACTTTTATATGCCTTTCTACGATATATATCAGAAAATAGTAAAGGCCCCCAGGCAACTCGATATACAGTTGAACCAAATGCATACAGCTGCGGTTCACGCTTTTGTGATTTCATTCTTCGTAGCTTATTAATATCTACAATCTCCACACAACCTGATTCAGTGCCATAAGCAATAACATTCTCAAACTGCGGTAAAGGATGACAAGACAGTGTGGTTATGGAAGATGATTTGCATTCTCGAGGTGATATTGAAACAAACTTTGTTTCTCTGTTTTGATTATCAGAAGAATTTCTTTCGCCAAACAATTCTGGTGCAGGAAACTTCCAAAATATGATGGAGCCCTCTGAAAGACCTGCAACTAAGGGACCATTGCTAAATTCAGATTGAGCTAAAGAGCAAACACCTGCAGACATTGTAGGTACTTTGAGGACCACTGACAGGTTAGATCCTTCCACCAACTGCCAAACAATCAAAAATCTATCTTGACTCAAAGTGATTACCAGTCCTGGTGAATTAAGAAAGTAGTGCATTGAGAAAATTAGCATAGAATGTCCCTGACTGTCAAGCGACATACAGCTAGGCGTTCCTTTGTAATCCCAGTGAAATAATCCACCTCGTACACTTGAGAATAAAACACTCACTGAAGAATTACTTCCTGGTGTGTAGCAAGCAGATATCCATAGAGCTCCACTTTGTTCACTTTTCTCGTTATGTCGCCCAGCATTTCCACATTGTTGACGTAATTGACAGGGAACTTGGTAAGATGAAGTGCATTCTGAAGTGGTGACATTCCATACCTATTTACAGAAATCAAAACAAATACTACGTTAGCAAACATGGTGTCCTAATGCATATGAATATACTAATATATTACTGACTCGCACACTAGTTCCAACACAGAACCTTGAACAGATGTGCAGCAGTTCGAGTTCCCGCACCCCACGCAGCAAACACAGCATGACAACGAACTACAGATATATAATAAAAACCAGCGTAAGTCAGGGGAGAAGAACAGTAATCCGAAAGAACAATAGAGTTCATTGGATTTTTGGATAGTGTTAATAGAAGACGGAGATTATCTGAAAAATGTGATGTATTCGCGCTCTACATTTCGAACAATCTGCTCACAAATTTACTTGTCAAGTCAATATATATATATGTAAAAAATTAAGGGCAATTAAGTTAAACAAAGTGACAAAAAGGATTTCAGAATGATTAGCACAACGTTTAGTAATCCAATCTAATAAGGATTACCAAGGTAGGTTAAGGGTAATAATGAACTGCTTTAGAATACACAGTTCGACGTGGGGAGGGCGAAGTTCAACAATAGCGTCCACGGAGTGTTAACGCTCCAATGTCCTTGAACGCATGCTAGTCGTTGGCTAACGGCATCTGTCATTATCATAGCTGAAATATCAACGCTATTCACCAACTAAGGAGCACATTTCACCCAGATCACGTTTATAAGTACTGTTTCGACAGCTTGTTAGGGTTAGGATTAGAATCACCCAGTCCTACAAAAATGGAGAAAATCGTGTTAATAAAAGGGGACAAAATTCGGAAATGCGACGATTGTCCCCTTTTTCCCAGACGCCGCACATTGTCTTCTTTTCTGACACATTGTCCCCCTTTTTTTACGTCATAATTTCCTCTTAATCAGCAGAATGTCCCCTTTTTACTCGCATAACCCTGCAGGGTTATAATTAGCATTAGGGTTAGAATTACGGTTTGGATAAGGGTTATGATTAGGGCTAGCATTAAAGTTAGGGTTAGTGTTAGGGTCAGGATTAAACTTATGGTTACGATTATAATCGTAATTATGACTTAAAAGGAGGGAAATGTGACAAAAGTGGAACATTGTGCGGGGTCTGGGAAATGGGGGAAAACCTTAGCATTCCCCCCTTTTTCGCTCCTTTTACCCCATTGGGGTGTCCTATTTTCCCCATTTTTAGCACGATATTCCCCGTATTTGTCCGATTGGGTAGGGATAGATTTATAGTTGATAACATTTATCGTTATAACTAGGGCGTATTTTTAAGCCATGTCAGAGAAAGATAACCTGTTTAATGCGTTTTCAAGCGTTTTCTTGTCAATTTACATTATTTTTTGAGCAAACATTCCTCATATTTATGATTGGTCAGCTAAAGGTCACTCGTGCGTTCGCTCTCCTGGGACGCTGTTGCTAACTTTGCCGTGGGGAGCTTAAGTTTATGAATAGTTACAGCCTCAGCGTATTCCAATAAGTGCCCTTGATCATTTTTTCTATAGATGACCTTAAAGGCTGAGTAAATTCAAACTCAAATTCCATGAACGACCCGATGCTACCATTTGAAAACGCTGGCCAACATTCTGTACAAGGAGTATTCTTGATCTGAAATAAAGAAACAACTGGTTTTCAAACAGTTTTTAATGTATCACTCAACTTACATGTACAGTCTTCCATGCTGCCACAAATTGCGCCAATGGATAGTTCTAGAATCGACCTCGGCCCCATTTGATGCAGTAAAACAATCTAACATGACCTTATCTAGTTTTCGTTTCCACTATCAAATTCCTTTCCTATTATAAAACTACGATTAGACTGCTGAAAAATGGAACAAATACATCACTGAACTCAAAACAATACATCAATAAACTTTAACTCAAGGATGCTGTTCACAACAAAGTTATATAGGAGAATTGACTTCAAGCTTTATTTTTCTCAGATATTTGCATTACATTCATCTGATGTCTGGGTTTTTTGTTAATGTGAAGACAATATTTCTATATCTCTTTATGTGTTACACAGACAGACTATTTTGCAGACTGTTCCGACTGACTCTACTGTCAGAAAGAACAAACAAACTGTAAATTCCCCATACATCGAAATATGTGTAATTTATATGATAACTTATCCATGCCTGTACAATTTGTATGTTCCTGCATAAACAGAAATAAATATATATACATTTGCACTGCGCAGCACGAAAGTCACGGCAAGGAAACCTGATTTCTCTGACAAGTAGCTCATTCTCCATAAAGTAGAAGAATCTCTGGCCTGTCTGAGAAGATAATTCTGTGTGGTTTGAGAGGGGTGGTGCGGTGGATTCTATGGTGTCTTTCACAGGTTTGGGTAAAATGGCTGCTTGCAATATCCTATTATTTATTCCACAATTAGACGTAGTGAGATAATTGTATGCGTGCCCTTCTATGACTGTCTTGTCCACCGCAACCTTTATTAGTTTGTAGTTTCTGACTTGCGATTGGGTGTGTTGGGAGTGGATGAATTTTCTGTGTTTCGAACCGAAAACGAATAGGACAACACTTTTCATGTTGACTCTTCCTCAGCCTATAGCACTTAGTCTTGGAGTTGGGCATTTTCGCCTCACTAAGTAAGCCACCGCTGCTGGCTTATTTATTATGTGTATTTATTAATTCACCTGCTCGTGTTGAGCCAGGTATGTTGGTCGTACCCAGCGCTCGCTTTCCAAACACACCAATGAACACTTACCAACATGGTCTCACAAAGGAGAAAATCGATGCCCCCGCAGTTCCACCTTAGAACATCTTAGAACTGCTGCGCTGCAGGTGTTCAGTTTCTGCGTGAATCATCTTTCCTTATTATTTTGGAAATTAGCCGCTTTCCTCATATTATCCACATATACATACTTAACAAGGATTGTATTGTATCACCTGAAACTACATATAGTATTCACCCGTAAAATCTACAACCCGGAATCTTCTGATACCCTCTCTAACTACGTGGAACTCAGGATTTTATCCACTGCAAGCACTGTAAAGGAAAGTCTGACTTTTTATTTTGCAAAATATCTGTTTATCGTAGTTGTTTTGATACTTCGATAATACAGCTATCTTTTTTATATCCTCAAGACTTTTTCTTCTGGAAATTGTGAAAATTCTTATTTCTATAATGGTTAAGTCAATCAAACGTGTAAGTACCGTTAAGAGACTGAGATCTAACGCTCGTCAACCATCTGAGGGCCTCAGCTCCGTTGACGATTCCACACTTTTGACACCAGACACACTCAGAGTTATGGTATCTGACATCATGGGTGAACTGACAGAGAATGCGGCTTGTAGCAAAAATGATTTACTGATACTTCAGAAGTCAATGACAGACCTACAGAGCAAGTTTGACAGCAGTATGCCCCTCGCGCAATTGTGTGACCCATCACAAAACATCTGTCTTGAATCACTTATCAAATCCGAGTGCATAATTGACTATTTGGCTGAAGAAGCTGTTAAGAGGATTATGTTTTCACATAACGTCTTGGCCTATAACATTCCGAGCAGAGAGCCTATTGCCAAACTTAAAGCTTCGTGTCTGAAGGCTTGTAATATGTCGTTGACAGAATGTCAGGTTTTGCGTCTTCGTAAGGAATCTGCAAACCACTCATGTCCTGTGCTTTTCAAGTTCAGGTCTGTCGAAGAATCCAGGAATATTCTGAAGGCTGGTAAGATAATAGGCTCTTCGACACCCTGCACTAACATTAAGGTTGCACCTGATTTAACACCGTGCCAAAGACGATGCCGCTCAGGAAAACTGAATACTGACAACTCTAATAGGATAACTGTAGATGATGTTCCATGCGTTATTCCGTCGAATGAAAAACCTGATGACCATATGCATCAGACATTTTCTCAAGCACAGACTAATATCAGCCAAGTATTATATAACGACACTGATGCTGACGCTGAAATGGTGGACATAGATGAGTCAACGGAACATAATGTTGAAATACATCGTTTTCACACTGACACAAACTGGTGTTCCACCCATCCCCTTTTAAGTCACTTACTCCTCAGTCTGACAATCCATCCACTGTGAAGCACCAGTCGAACGTAGCTACCCAAGTTAGCAAGTTTTCTAGGCGTTATGACAAACGTCCCATTTCCATTAAGAAAACTAAAGCGCATGAGGTGTCCAAGCAACAGAATCCTTACATAGCATGTGCTGGCTGCCCTGTCAGCCATCATCAACCAGTTGATCATAAGAAAAGGGAAAAAGAAATAAGTAAATTAGATATTGAACCCGGAGTAAGAAAGCCCTTTGATATGATAGAGACGAAAGCACCTCTGAGCCATCATCCTAAGAGAAAGTCAAATATGGTAGACCCAGCTCCTAGAGGTAGGCCTAATTGGTGTCAAGTGGAAAGTCAGTTATATCCTACCACTAATTCTAGACAAACAGCACAGCAAGGTAGTAAGTATTATTCTGCTCATCCACTACGTAAACCCATTGTTAGCCAACCCCCTTCTAATGTTCTGTCAACTGAAAGTTATAGAAAATCCCCCAAACATAGGCCACAGACTACATTTAGCAAGCCAACAGAACCCACTCATACATCCTATGTATCTAGTAGGGAGCATGTGCCAATTTCTGCACAAAACCTGCTATGGTCTGATGACTACCCGGAACAAATACAAACACTTCATTCTTGTACTGGCAACAAATTACCGAATACTCATACCGGTTATACTTTCGGGCAGGATTTTCACCAGCGCCAGTTGACAGAAACACCTGGCATCATGCATATAGCACGCATGATATCAGATCAATTCCTTGCCGGCATAGCGAACAGTCTATAGCTAGGGCAAGGCATATCTCCTGGGAGATAGCTGACACAGTGTCTAATAACATGCATATAGAGGATACTCATGGATTATTTTATCAAGATGTTGTCCACTCACTGAAACCACATAACCAGTGTTTATCTATTATCCTAGTAAATACGAGATCAGTTCTAAGCAAACACTTAACACTAAGTACATTAGCTTCTATATGCAGACCATCATTGATTATGATCACTGAAGCCTGGTGCACAAGTGATATCTCCAATGATAGCCTAAGGATTGATAAGTACAACCTTTTCCGAGGGGACAAACAGAGAGGTCGTGGGGTTGGAACACTAATTTACTGTGAACAATCCTTATGTGCAACCCAGTTCAGCAACCCAATTCTGCCACAACTCAATGACTCCATCTGGGTTGAAATAAAAGTTGTCAGCAGTAAACCTATACTTGTGGGTTGTGTGTACCGACCCCCTTCATCCAACAGGGAATATGATAATATGCTCAGCAATGTTACAGCCAATCTTCCCCACAGTTATAAAATTATCGGAGGTGATTTCAACATGCCAGAAGTATCATGGTCTTCACTCCGAGGACTCCAAAGGTATGATAATCTCCTGAATTCCATCGTCACAGGAGGGTGGACACAACACATAAATTCACCCACTAGATCCGCAAATATCCTAGACCTTATTTTCACGAACAACATAAAACCATCTACAGTACATGTGGGACATGAATTTCCAGGTAGTGACCATTAAATAGTAGTTTGTTCTTTTGACATCTTTCCTGAAACAAAACGCAGAGATGAAGCTGGCCAGACACCTATGAGATTGTACACACATGCTGACCGGGAATTGTATCAGCACCTAATTAGATGTTCTAATTGGGACTCGTACTTTTCGAACGAGTCCTTAGAGGCAATTCTTAACAACTTTTATCAGAATATTAACTCAATTCATGATGTCATTGCACCTGAGAAGATTCTTAGCTTCGGATTCCCCCAAAGCGATTATATTCCGACATCGTTTAGGAGAAGTCTACGAAAACACTCAATAAAATACCACAGATATCATGACTTGTCATCACTAATTGCTATTAAGTCCCTTCTCGATAGAATTGAAGAGTTGAGAAATATAGGCCTCAGAAACAAAGAAATGCGAGCCATTCAGGCACCGCATAACTCAGGAGAAATAGCCAAACTTTTCAAAAGTAGGTTGACGAACTCCAAAACAGCTTATCCTAAAATATTATACTTAGACGGGATTGCTTACGAAAATCCTGAGGCGATATGTGAACTGTTTAGCAAGCACTTCGTCAGATTATACACCTTAGAGAACGACGAGGTCGTGGATTTCCCACGTGAAACAGACGAATGCTTAAGTGACATACTTTTCACCACACACGCGATCGATAAAGCTGTCGCAAATCTTAAGTTTAGTAACACTATTGATCCAGATGGTATATCTTCCATTCTGCTGAAAAACGGTGGTAGTGACATGAATTTACTCCTACTCAAGTTATACTCAATTTCACTAAGCGATGGGACATACC